CGAACAAAAGAGATTCAATATGGGTGATTGTAGACAGGTTAACTAAGTCAGCCCATTTTATTCCGGTACGAACTGATTTTTCTATGGATAAATATGCTGAGTTGTATATTAGAGAGATTATACGGTTACATGGTGTACCTGTTTCCATAATTTCTGATCGGGATCCTAGATTCACGTCACGATTTTGGAAGTCTTTACATGGATCATTGGGCACACGACTGAATTTTAGCACAGCATTTCATCCTCAGACAGATGGTCAGTCTGAACGAACTATCCAAATTCTGGAGGATATGCTAAGAGCTTGTGTAATTGAATTCAAAGGATCATGGGAAAGGTATTTGCCACTTGCTGAATTTGCGTATAACAATAGTTATCAGTCAAGCATCAAAATGGCTCCATATGAAGCTTTATATGGAAGAAGATGTCGTACACCCTTGAACTGGTATGAACTTAAGGATCGAGAGGTTATTGGTCCTGAGTTGATTCAGGATACGGAAGAGAAAGTTCAAGTCATTCAGAATAATCTGAAAGTTGCAGCTGATAGACAGAAATCATATGCCGATTTAAAAAGGAAAGAAATTGAGTTTCAAATCGGAGATAAAGTGTTCTTGAAAGTGTCTCCGTGGAAGAAAGTATTGAGATTTGGACGTAAAGGAAAATTGAGTCCTCGGTTCATTGGACCATATGAAATCGTTAAGAGAGTAGGACCAGCGGCATATCAATTGGCTTTGCCACCTGAAATGGAGAAAATCCATAACGTCTTTCATGTCTCCATGCTGAGGAAATATCGATTCGATCCATCTCATATTGTGACTACTGAAGAGATCGAAGTTCAATCAGATTGGACTTATGAGGAAGAACCTATTCAAATATTGGCTCATGAAGTCAAGCAATTAAGGAACAAGAATATTCCATTAGTCAAAGTGTTATGGAGAAATCACAAGGTGGAAGAAGCTACGTGGGAACGCGAAGAGGACATGAAGATTCAATATCCCCATCTCTTTGAACAATGAAAATTCGAGGACGAATTTTCTTAAGGGGGAGAGATTTGTAACATCCCAAAATACGGGTTAGTGACTAAATTGTAAAATTTCAGAGTTTGGTGATTTAAGTAGGATATTTGTACAGTCCAATGATTTGTTCGGAAATATTTCCTGAAAGTTATTAGTAATTATCAAAGGAATTAAAGGGCAAAATGGTCATTTAGCATGAAAGATATTTTTTTATCTCTTTATTAAGAGATAAATATGAGTTGGGGAAAGAGTTTCTGAAAACTCTTTCTTCTTCTTTTCTTCTTCTCCAACGTGCAGGGCAAAGGTAAGGTTTTCTAAATTGTTGGTTATTTGTTAAATTAAAGATTAGGTTTTGATCATTAGATGATAACTAAGCTTAAGGAAAGCTTAAGTTGTCTTATAATCAAAAGATGAAGAAGTTATAAGAGATTAAAGAAAATGAGTTTTTATATGAAATCATGGAAAAGAGTTGATAAGTTGAATTTAAAGTTAAATTTGACTTGTCATCATCCTAATTAAGGAATATGAAGTGTTAGAATTGTATTTAGAACATATTGAAATTTGAGTATGATTCTTGAATTTCATATGAAGGATAGGATTTTGAAGTTATAGATGATTTTCATGGATATAAGTTGGTTTAAGTGATGGTAGTTGAATTTAATGACATGATAGGGGTTTAAAATAGAAGAATTAAGTGAAGAATTGATGATTTTCGGGGTTAAAATACCAATTCTGGTTAGAGGGAACCGATACCCTATGAAGGGAATCGATTCCCCCTCTTGGACGAAATTTTTCCAGAATGTCCAGGGGGTATCGATTCCCCTGGGGGGGGAATCGATTCCCCCCTAAAGGAAAAATGAAATTAGGTTCAATAATCTGGCTTAAGTTGTTAACATCAAGTTTAAGGTTTAGGCTTCTGATAGTTGTTTTGAAATGTTATATTTATGTAGATATTGAGCCTAAACAAGTTCTGGAATAATCAAAGGATTAGAATTGATTCAAATCAAACAAGGCTAAGGTGAGTGCAATTTTTATTGTACTTATATTATTGAACGAACATTGGCTTGCGATGAGCCAGTGATGGAGTTACTACGGTAAGAAGTGACTCCTAAATTGTTATTTGATTTCATGATTTTTATATGTGCATGAATACATGAAATGTGTATAGATTATTATAAATGTTACATGATATACATGCATACATGATTATGCTATGAGACATGACCATGTGAAATGAGAAAAACTATGTGAATATATGAAATGACATATGAATATGCAAAATGTGATACATGTGATATGATATGAAATACATGGTTACACATACATGTGGTATGTGACAGAAGAGAAAGAACAAGTGATGAGAAATGTATTCATTATAAATGCCCATAGTATATGATACGAGAGCTATAGGTATAGTTGGCATGCCAAGAGTCAAGGGTTCTGTAGTCCTTCGGGACGTAGTCCTTTGGGACGTAGTGGTCCTACGGGACATATATAGAAGTCCTTCGGGACGAATACTGAACTAATGTTCGGTGCCCCATGAGGGAATTTATACGAGCTGTGGTGACAGCATTTGTGCACAACCTCAATGAACTCACATACCTCTATTCTCAATAATATACATGGGCAATACAATTGAAAGATAAATTAAAGTGAAAGTGGCACAAGAAGGTAAGTGTTACATGTGCTTGACATGCTTATATATGTTATCATGTGATAGATACATGCATGTTGAAATGTCATGATCAAATGATAAGAATGCACATTCATGAATTTGTTGTTAAATGTTTATTTATTGCCTCACTAAGTCTATGACTTAGCGTGTAAGTGATTTACACGTAGGTACCAAGAAACGTGAAGAGCAAGAATAGAAGTAGCAAGGACAGTATTATTACTTGAAGATCAAATCAGAAGTAATCAACAAGTATGTATTTTGGCGTGTATAGAGTGTTGGCATGTAATAAGTCGTTAATTATGAATACTCTGATCAAACTTGTATTTTGTGGTCTCTCTGATGTAAATTAAAGTATTTTGTTTTAAACAAAGTTTTTAAATTACCCGGGGTATTTTCTTTAAGTGTCCAGATTTGAAAAGTCAATGTGACACCTCGGACTCATATTCGGGTCGGGTACGGGTTGGGGTGTTACATGTGGAACATGTGTGAAGTCTTGTAAGACACATACTTGATCCCTAGTATATGTTTATGATTCTTAAGGAATGATATGTGGTCCTTATGGACATTATTATAAGGCACTACGGTGCAATTCTACGTGGCACTACGGTGCAATTCTACGTGCACTTCGGTGCAATGATACGAGCTGTGGTGACAGCATTAGTGCACAACCTCTATAGACTCACATATCGATAGTTCTCACAAGTGTACCATGGGCTAATCAAAGAGATAACATAAATACAATATATATAATGCATATGCTTTTAGTGAAATGATATATGAGTGATATGATATACAGAAAGGATAAGTACAAGATTATGTGATAAATAATTCGATGATAATGATAGAGATAATGATAATAATATATATGATAATGCTAAAAAAGTAGATGATGATATATGTACATGAGTGTCTTTGTTATATAAAAAGGTATATGATTTTGTATGATAAATTAGTATTAAATGTTCCTGTGTTTTGTTATATGGGATGTTTTTATGATTTCTATTATATGTTTTATTTGTCTCACTAAGTCATCGACTTAGCGTGTGATTGTTTCACACGTAGGTTCGAGAAGAATATAGAGAGCAATGTGGAGCAAGACAGGCCAGTTCTCCTTACCAAATGCCAGATCAGAAAATATATGTACTGGTTATAGAGTGTAGTTGGCATGTAGTCTAAGGATATAAATTGTATGAACTCTGATATATTTTGTAAACGTTTTGAATAAGTTAAATGTTATCAAAGTTTTTAAATTACTCACTATTTTATACAAGTAAATGTTTTGAAAAGTCAATGTGACACCTCGGACTCGAATCCAGGTCGGGTACGGGTTGGGGGTGTTACAAGTATCGATACCAAAAATATATTCTATTACGAAATTAAGACCCCAATATCGATACTGTCACCTTGAGTATCGATACTCCAGCCCATAAACCCTACTTTTTGCCAAAATTTAACCAGTATCGATACTTGAACTCAGAAAATGATATTTTAGGCTCGGGAAACACTCAAAATTCATCATAAAGGTCATAGTTCAGTTCTAAATCATGCACCAATGTTATGGGTAGTTATTTAGGGTCTTAAGGTGTCATAAAACACATATTAAACATCAAATTCGTGATTTAAGGTATAAATCAAAAGTGAAACCCTAAATGCTAAACTCCATACATCTTAGCAATTTCTTGTGATTTATGAAAACTTAATACTCCAAAGGATTATAAATACACTATCTTGATTTTAAAAACCCGAAATGAAGCTTCTTTAGCTATCAAGCACCTTTTTTTTAACTTTGTTGATTTTTCTCCCTTTTTCCTTTAGCCACAACAATGCAAGGATTTCCTTTGCATAAGAATGTTATAGGGAGTGAAAGGGACAGATTTGAGACTAAATAAACTTGAGAAAATGAAATCTTACCACACTTGAGGTTATGGAGACTTGGAGAGGAAGAAGAAGTAACAAAGAGAAGAGGAATGAGGATGAAACCCACGTCCAAAACATAATAAAACACTAAAATTAGCTTCCAAATTCCTCAATGGTAAAATTGCATTTTTAGTCCTTTGCATTTTATCTCATATTCAAAAATCATCTTTTTGTGGTTAATTGGGGCCAAATCCAACCTAATTAAATCCAACAACTTAAATCAAGAAATCTATGGGGTCCACCTACCTCTCGGGTAAACCCGAAGCTACCAGCCTATAAATTGGGGTGTTACATCCCTATCTAGTCTAGTGCTGATCATCACTAACCTTCTCCTCTTTCTACTTCCATCCTGTCTTCTATTCTCAATTGTTTGCGTTTCTTAACAATGGTGGAAGCGTTTGTTTCTGGAGTTTATCAGCCTTCAAGAAGCTGAAAACAAGGTAAGAGTCGTTGTCGGTGTAAAGGAGCAGAAGCTGTTAAGCTTTAAAGCGTTGCTTATGACATTGAAGACGTTTTGGATGAATGGAGCACTGCGATTCTCGGATCTCAAAGCTCTTCCTCTTCAAAATCTCGGGTAAGTTTGCCTCAACCCTCAAGCATTCCAATTCCGCTGCTTGTTCAACGTCGTGATATTGCTGCTAAGATTAGAGAGCTAAACGAAAAGCTTCAACTCATTGCAAAAGAAAAGATTTTGATTTCATTGTAAATCAAATCCAGAATAAGGATGTAGAGCCTCAAAGACCGGAAACCGCATGTTTTGTTGATGTTTACGAAATATGGGGTCGAGAACAAGATAAAAACACCATTTTCAGCTTGTTGCTAGGTGAAAATAGTACTCAAGATAATTGGACTGAGAGATGTGAGAAGACCAACTGATGCAGAGGAAGCTAAACTTTTGAAGAAGACCGGCCTCCGTTATTCGACTCTTATCGTTTATTTCCATGAAAAATAGTAATAGAGTTATGAAAGAAGCATCCGTTCTTGAAGCTTCTGCTCTTGAATCAGCTGCCTCCATATCTGGAATATTTGAACATAAAACACATGAATGGTCCAACAACATTCCCCAGTTGGATGGTGTCATTGACGATGTTGAAGAGGGTTATACCATGGGCCTGTCTCAATTGGAAAACCTTGCCCCCATGTGGAAGTTGCCAGTCCTTGAACATCTAGAGATATTGAAAATGAAGAGTGTGAAAGAAGTGGGCCAAGAATTTATGGGAGCAGAAACAGAAAAGGGGCAAACATCATCATCATCATCATTACCAATTTAATAACAATATTGCCTTCCCCAGTGTGAAGCATCTTAAATTTTATGGAAGAAAGGCAAGAGTGGAATTACGGGAATCTACTTGCTACTATGCCACTTCTTTGTTCCTCGAAAATCAGTAGTTGCCTCAAGTTAAAGTCATTGTTCCGCCAACTTCTTCAGAAGACAACTCTGCAAGTATTATATATCTTCGATTGCCCGATTCTGAAGGACCGTCGTTTGGGTAACGGGACAGGGTTGGACTGGCCCTACAATCTCTCATATCCCTACCATCACAATTGACGGTGAATACATGAAAAGAGACAGAATTTATCAATCTCTTATTCGGTATTCGGTAAGCTTCTTCAAGATCAGTCCTGTCAGGCCGGAGCAACGACAAAAAGTAAGAAGGCCAAGGTAATTAAGAAGCATTATTTGATTTTAACCATCGAATATCATGAAGTTGTCTTCTAAAAGTAGTTCTTTTACTTTGTGCTCTTCAGTAATCAGCCATGAAATTTCATCTAAAGAAAGCCAGCATCATGATGGAGCATCTTTTCTCTGTAACGATGATGAACTTCCGGACTCAGTCTAACTTGTATATAGAAACTACCAGCCAGAGGAAATAATGTTGGAAAATAAAAATATACGAATTCTCTCTAAATAAGAAAGAAGAGAAAAAAACAATTGAACAACCTTTATAAAAAATATTCTCTTTTATTTTCCACTCTCTCAAAGTATAACACATGAGTATTTATATGATGAGATTACATAATTAAAGAGCATTAAGTAACATAAATATTTAAGACGTAAACCAAAACCTCATGTTTAATTAAATAAACTATAAACTCATGTTTACTTAATTAATCATTTATTAAAGTTAAGTTTAATTTTTAAACTCCCTTAACTTGATTTTTACTAACTACTAACAACCTTCAAAACTTACAGAATACATCATACTTCAGGTTTGGTGAAAATATCTAAAACTTGATCAAGAGTACTTACATAATATAATTGCACTTCTTTCTTTTCAACACATTCACGAATAAGTGATATCGTGAGTCTATGTGTTTGCTTCGATCATGAAACACTGGATTTTTTGCAAGAGCTCGAGGTGACTTGTTAACAATCAAAATCTTTGTAGCATTTTCTTGTGGGAGTTGAATTTCAGTCAACAATCTTTGTAGCCAAATAGCATGACAAGTACAAGATTTGCATTAGCAATTTTTTATGAACAATTTTAGTTCTGATTACATGTCCTCAATTTGGAAATAGCTATCAGTGTCTGTTGATTTTACATGATATGGACTTACCTTGATGATGTCGGTAAGAAAAACAACAGTAATCAAAAGAAATAACGCTGAACAAACGAGCAAGGTTTAAATATGTTTTGGTGTGTCAAAACAACAGTGCATGGATAGAGGTTAAAGCAGAGTTGTCTTGATCGCATTCATATTATACTAAGTTAAGCTAGTTTGAAAATAGTTTCATGTGGTAGGAAAATAGTTTGGATGATGAAAGGGTGCATTTTTCTCATAGATTATAGCATCTGCTTGAGCTACTATCATACAGGTTCATGCTTTTGAGACAATAACCTGTAGGTCCTGTGTGGACTGCTGAGTTCTGGTTTATGAAATATGTTTTATATTGAAGAATAAATGCAAATCACACTAATGCAGAACTGATTGTATAATAAATGCGGTTCAACTCTAAAATACTTGTTGCATTGCAGGTATTACCGCTGCTTCTGAAATATCAGCAGAGCCGGGTAATCCTTTGACGCATAGAGGCGTTGCAATAAGTGTTAGATTTCTCACAGGTCACTCGAGAAAAAGTGGAACAGATTCTCTCTTTGTTGCCGAGAATGCTGCTGACCCTTTAGTGGTTTATATGGGCTTGTCCACCCTCCCTTCTCTTGCACAAAAATTGATACATCGTGGCCTACCACCAGATACACCGGCCGCTGCAGTTGAGAGAGGAACCACACCTCAACAGCGCACGGTAAGTACAATCACACGTGATTTCTTCACAACATCAAGAGCATCTAATGATTCCATATTGCAATGCCATACACAACATGAATTAATGCATTAGGGGGCAATTCATTGCAACCATAGATCTTATGCTAAGAATGGGTTCTTTTAATAATGGTACAGGTCTTTGCAGAACTAAAGGATCTTGCCGATAAAATCAAAACGGAAGAATTAGTATCGCCAACACTAATCATAATCGGGAAGGTTGTTGCCCTTTCACCATTTTGGCCGCGGTATTCTAAAGAAGCATCCTGTCTGGTTGAAGCCTAACGGGCCTTCTATGAGACATCTAAAATGGTTACTGATTAAGAGGTTTGATCAGTTTTGATTTGATTCTAAGAGAAAATGAGAGGTATATTTCTAGGCTGCTTTTGACCAGTAGGAGCTTTTCTCTAGGGAATTATGACGTGTTGATCTCTAACATACACTTGAAGGAATTGGGAATAATTAAGAAATGTGTACATGTTGGATACAAAATATGATATTTCATTCAATCATATTGCATATACATATAAATTAATAATATTATACCAAAAATTAAGGTTTAGCTCGGTTCATGCGACCGACATTATGACATCTAACGAATCCATGATTCGAATCTTAACATCTACAACCCTCCAAGCTGATTTGGACAAAAGTGTTTTGATTGTGAACTCAAGGTAAAATTGGATTAATCCTCACTAACAAAGACAGGGTACTCCAAGAATCACCTTTGTAACCAGACCTATTCAATACCCAAAAACATTGGATGTCAACCCTAGTAAGGGATCCAAAGCACTTGGAGCAAACTCACTTGCAAAAAGATAGCAAGTAGTTGATGGCTGGCCATTATATAAGCAGGATTGTCTTTCAAAAATTCTCTTAAAGATACTTTCAGTAATATCAGCTTTCCCGAAAGTGGCTGGATGAGCACCACCCCTCGAGAGATGAGGTGATTGGATCGTCAGCATTGTGGGGAAATAGTGCTCGTCCACATAACAAGCAGGACGGCAGAACTCCTTGAACTTGGGATAATAAGTGGTGTCCTTAATTATATCGATAGCAAGCTTTCTGTTAACTTCGAACCATTGAGACCCTTTACGCCATTGGCTAAGTGTGACCTCCGGTTGCATGCGATGGTTGTAGCATCCTCGCCCGTAAGGTCCGGGTTCATCGAATGAGCCCATAAAGCTGTGTTTTGATCTCGATATGTAGTAATAGATTATGCTGAAATTGTACAGGGGAATGCAAGACTCGGATAAGAGAATGAACCATTCATTAGATATGTCTAGCAATGCATTGGCAAGGAGTCTTCTCTCTGCCTCGCACATACTCATCCTTCCCCACTCCACTATCTGCAATACATTGAACAGAAAAACAAGTCAAATAATTTAAACAAAAATCTTCAGGGAACAAACAAACTACATTTCGTTTGTTGAAAAACATCTCTCTTTTCATGTGCTAAAGTATGGGAATGCATTGAAATGGTGATCAAGGCTTTGCTGCTACAAAAGGATTTACAAAACACAATATGGAAAAAAATGTAAGAATGCAGGCAAGTGACAGATTGACAGCACAAAGCTTAAAACATAGTCATTTTAAATAACAAGCCAACCCAGTATTGTTAATCACTATGTTACTTAAAGTGTGGGGTACGGGTATGTATTGAACATAAATATACTCAAATTTTCCCAAGCTACTCTGTGTATTTGGTAGGCCTGAGGAGAGTCATATTCTATTATCCATATTCGAAATATGTCGAATACAAATATTTCGGAAGAGAAACTAATAGTTGAAACAACATTAACTAAGAATTGGATTTAGGGGTTGCATACTACCGCATATGATATGATTTCAACAAGGCATCTTTAATTTTTCTAAATCATTTTAATGTATTTCGAGAATCCTTGAAAGATGATATCTCCGAACCATGTCCAAAAATGTCTTGTACACCACTCTTTGATAAACTACATGACTACTCTACAAATCTGTAATGGAAATCAATTCACGATTAACATGACTCTTTGATAAACTAACAAGGACAAACATAGATAAAGGAGCACAACAGCTTTAATAGGAGAATGAATCAAGTAACCATCGCAAAATCTCAACAAAACACGAGCTCAAGAAATTTATGTTATGTGAAGAAAAGATAAGATTGATACCTGACTTAGAATCTGTCTCCTGTAGAAAACTGACGATGGAGGATACCCATCAGTGTAGGATGGCAGTGCATGAATATATATAGAGTAAAGGCCTTCATGTCCCTTGAAGAATCTGTCCCAAAGTGGAGCTAGTGGGCTAGTGGAACATGAAGGCAATTTTTGGCTCTCTTAAAAGGATACTCCTTGATCTGAGGAACGAATAAAGCTCTCCATAGTAATTCAGTGTCATTCATATCATGCATCAAGTTTGAAGGAGGCCTAATTAAATTTTCCCATGTATTAGTAGCATCTTCAAACCAAGGCTGAAGTACAGTTGATGGTGCTTTAGCTGCTATCTGTGGGATCATTGAAAAGCGTACCGAATACATGCTGATGATGGATAAGTCGACGCCCAGGATCATAATCAACAAACAGATTACAAGGATCCTTAAAGGAAAAGCCCTGGAGAGGCTCGTTTTGGTTGCAGAAACTGTGTCTTTACCTTCCTCCATAGCCACCACCCTTGGCTGCATCATAACTTAAATCCCTCAATTAACAAAAACGAATTTCTGGGTTTTGTATTTCCTCTAAAACCAAACCATTAGGATCAAAAATTGCCCAGCAGATAACAAAGGTTAACACTTTGAAACACTGTCGTATACAGAAAGGAGATAAATGAGCACAGTAAAGTAAAGCTCTTTTTTGTCAAATGTGTTTTTGTGAAACGAGAAGGGGAATAAGTATAGGAAGAGTGCAAAGAAATCCGTAGGAGAAAAAAACGACTTTCATTATTCCTGTGATATCGGAGTAATAGAAAGACAGATGTATGGGACTTTTCTTTAATGGCTTCAGCCTACAAGGAATGTCTTTTTTTAACAAGTGGGTAAAACAAATGGGTAGAACATCGGATTTGGTGACAAGCTTTGCCTTTTGTTTTGAGTTCAGAGATGTGATTGTGTATCTTGGCCTAGGGCAGCCATGGCCAGGTTTTGGACAATGGGGTATTAACTGTGAAGAATGGTGAAGAAACCCAAAACAAAGTGATCATAAAGTAATCACCATTCACTGGGCCAACAAAACAAAGTTGCAAACAAAAGATGAACACACGTCGAACTGTGAATGATGGAGAATGATTGATGGAAGAGTAAATTTCAAAGTTTTTAAAGATAGAATGATTCGGATGCGATAAATTTCGCCCGGGTAATAGTTTTATCGTCGAGGAAGATCAGTATGATGAAGTTCTACAGTCCTGAGCGGCTGTGCCCGTGCTATTGCATTTTGCTACAGACCCACGGCTTAAGTTTATATGTAAAGACCAGCATTTGTGACCATTTGAGTTTGTTGGATTAGACTTGTTAATTTGGTTAAAACCCAGATTTTAGTAATTTTATGTGTATTTGGTAATGCTGTCTAAAATAATTTCAGTTAAAAAAATTATTTTAAATCATAAAATTAATATCAAACGGATAAAAATATTATTAAAATAGTGATTTCAAACCTATTACAAAAGTTGAAATTTCTAGTTTTTTTCATTTCCAACTTTATGTTTAGAAGCAATTTTTTTTAATCATTTACTTATATATGAGCTCCACTCATTTGCCTTGAAAAAGAACTTTGAAGTTCAATTTTCTTTATTAATTATGTATTTACAGTTTATTTTAATAATTTAATATTAACATCCTTTAAAAAATAATTTATTATTTAATAATTTATTATAATTACTTAAAAATAAATAAAATTTATGATGTATATTAAAATATTGATAGTGCGTTATTATTAAATATATTTTTATTATAATTATATATTTTATTTGTATTTTTTTTATTTTTGTTATAGTTTAAATTTGATATATTTTAAATATAATAATATTTTTTAAAAATTTATTTATACTATATATCTTTTTATTTTTTTTATTTAAATGTTTAAAACGATAAATATATCATTTACATTATTTTATTTTATATTTTAAATGAGTGATTATGATTAAGTTGAAATAATTAAAATATTATTTTAAAATTCAAATGTGAAAACGTACTGATAATTTTATTTTTAATAAAATATTTCATATATATATTATTTATGAATTATTTTTAAATATTTTTTTATATTTTTTATTATAGTTCAAATTGAAATATTTTATACATCATTTAATAAATATAAATATAATTTAAATATTATATTTTTAATTTACAATATAATGTCGAAATGAACATTTTATCTTTTCAAAATTACTTGCTAACAATAATTTGAAACAATTAAATTTTAAATTATATTTTTAAAGTTCTTTTCTACGACACCTTTAAAATTCACTTTTCAAAACATATAAAAGTTCACTTTTCTAAACATGGATCAATTTCGCATTGCATGTCGAATACGTGCAAGATATTTTTTTCGTATTAAACAATCTTCAAGAAGATCATCATCTTCACCAACAATTTGTCCACCATTACCGTGTGTGCTAATGAGACATTGATTTATGAACCAGTCCAATCAACAATCGTACCATTGAATGAAATCAACAAAAATTCAAAGGAAAAAACCAGTTGAGCTTCAATTTAGTCATAAGCTTAATTCAGCCTCTCAATTTATCATCTTCTACGTTCCGTATCAGTCGTGGAAAAAAATCTGATGATACTTGCAGAAAATTTAGAGAAAGAAAACTGAAGGACGAGAAAACAAGGCACTTAGTAAATATTCGAAATCAATGGATACCAGTATTATAGTTTTCTTAAACCAGCAAATGGATACAAACTAAGAACAATATAATGCTAATGAAGCCAGAAAATGATCAATATATAAATGTTCCCATCAGACTTTCAAACATCCTACAATGGAGGACTCTAAGAAGTCCAATCTCACTTCTCCGAAGAGTTGGGTCCTCGCTTCTTCCCGAAACCAACAACTGCCGAAACAGCAAACAAACAAAACAGTCCATCAAATGCTCAACGTGCGCAGAATTGCAGGATGAGTCACATGCATAAAACTTTTTCAACCAAGCAATTCTCAAAAGAATTTGAGATAAAAGACTATATGTGTATGAACCTAATAACTAGGTTATCTTGTACGCAGATCATCCGGTTCGAGGATAAGTTCCAAACTTCGTTAATTTTGTATTTAATTAATGATTTTATAATAAACTAGTATATTTTAATGGGATAAGTAGTTTTATTGAATTGGAGAGCTAGTGTTCCCAAATTCAGAACATGCATACCGATAGGCAAATCACCGAGGATAAGGTGGTTTTTATAACTATGCCTGATAATTATTAGTAAAAAATAACAGTGACAAGGCACCATATTCACCTTTGTCTGAGACTAAATTCATTCATTAGAATAGGTTGAACAGATAACATATAATGAAAGTTAAAGGCAATATATCTCAAGGAAAAGGAAATAATTTGGATGAGCAGACAAGAGCTAATATCACTAATAGGAGGCACAAGAAACCAGAAAACTCATCATTACAATGATTCATTGCAATAGAGCAACAATAAAAAGGACTGAGCACTCATCAAACTGGACAGAGCAAAACCAATTGTTGAAACCCAATTGTAAACAAAGTACAAAATCAACTAACAAAAATTTCAACATCGTAAAGATCACAAACAATCGCAGTAAAATTTAATATCGGCCCAAATTTATTTTTAAGTGAATGGGATTACGGATGACTAATATAAACAAGGAAAAGAGAGAAGCTAACCGGCAGTGACGAAACGGCGGTTGTACTGCATCCTTTTATAGGCGCGACCCCTGGGTTTCTTCTTCTTGTCTTGCTTGGCTACCTTCGGAGTTTGCCCTCTCACTTTCCCGGCGCGTGCCAAAGATCCGTGGACCTTACCTGTAAGCCAGTTCCCGACATAGATCAAAAAACAAAAATAAAACAAGCAAAATAATCGAAAAGGAAATTATATCGAGAGTCTAGGGTTTACCCATTTTTTGTGTTTGACGATTCTGATTACAGGTGCTGAGGGAGGATTGCGACTTCTGCTTAGGGTTAGGGTTTTTCTTTTAACTGGTATTTATTAGAGAACGAAATAGAACCGTTCTCTTGAAAACTTATTTGGGCCTTTAAAGTGTAGTCACGGCTCATTTAATTCTTGGGCTAAAATATAACTTGGTACTCCAACTTAGCTTTAAGATTTAATTTGGTATTTAATTTTTGTCTAATTAGATATTTAAATTTGGATTAAATATTTAATTTAGAAATTAATTTTTATTTTAATATATATATATAATTTTATTTTTTAATTTTAATAGATATCTAAATTTTGTTTTTTTGGCTTGAATATATATCTGAATTTAGCTTTTGATTCAATTTAGTTAAAAATCATAAGTATCTATTTGAACTAAAAAAATCAAATTTAATTATAAATTTGAATTAATAAGTAAAGTCAGGTGCTTAATTAAATATAAACAGTTCAGGAATCAAATTGAATCAATAAACCAAGTTCATGTACCTAATTGAGAAATGAGAAGATAACTTAATTACCTAATTCAAATTTAAAACTAAGTTTAGGTGCCAAGATATATATCCACCCTTTCCCAAATTTTATTAATGAAATTTTATTAGGTTAAATTATAAATTTGATAACTAAATTTTACTATTTCTCTTATTTCACTCATCACACTTCAAATCTTTTCAATTTTCTAACTGAACTTAATACATTAGGTTTTTCTTTGGTTAAGTATTTAAAGGTGTTAATTATAGATGCATAACGACATCGTTTTGATGAAGATTTTGATTTTTTTAAAACGGCATCATTTTTAACACTGTTAACTATTTAATTGTGGAGTGACCAAATTAGGAGAGAGAAAGTTCAATGACAAAAAATTCAATGTATTAAGTTCAGTGAGAAAATTAAAATATTTTAAAGTCAAGTGAACAAAATAGGATAAAGAATAAAGTTCAGTGAAAGTGAGTAGCGAATTTGGTTCATATACTCGAATTTAATCAATTTTAATTTTTATATATTTTGAAATTTCAGGTAGATCCAAATAATGAAATTTAGCTAAATAAATTTAATAATTATAATTCGAACCATGCTCAAAATTTAAAACTTAAAAAACATAAATGATAAATAATTAAATTACTCATAATTTTTTTCCTCATTTGAGTGAAATAAAATTCTAGGTTATGAATATATAAATTTAAATCTTGATCCATATAAATCATATATTAATTTTCTAAATCTATTTTAAATTAATTTAATTACTTTATTAGTTATACAATTATGAAGTTGAGTCTTGTAACAATTCATTCTGATTGTTTGATTTAATAGTATTTGGAGACTATAACCGCAAAAGTAAAATTACAAGGACTAACTACAATATTTTGCAAAAGAAAATTCCATTTTACCTTATCTTTTCGTCTATATATATAATGTCTACAACCAGTTTCTCTCTCTTTTTATAAACCCAAAACCCTTAAATGGCCTCCACCATCCCAAGCCATGCCTTGAGACACCTCACATTAACTCGGCCATGGTTCAGCAAAATCCGCTGCACTACGTCTCTTGCGTCTTCCAGTGAAGACCCACACCAAATTTTCCCTCTGAACGCCGATACTGGCTCCAAAACTGGCAACAACAGCAAGTCACAAGCTTTCTTCCCAAAGAAAAACCAAGTCTTGGAGCTCGAATGTGAGAGCCTGGCTTTTAAAGGGATAGGTGTATGCAAAGTGGCGGATTCTGGGTTTGTTTTGTTGTGTAACAATGCACTTCCTGGTGAACGTTTCATTGGCCGTGTTAGTCGTAAGAAAGGAAGTTACGCTGAGGTAATTTGAATTGTAATTTGTGTTCATTACCAATTATGATGCGCTATTCATGAGACCCAACTCATCGTCTTTTTTATATTATAAATTCCAAATTTTGAGTTAATGTATTGAAGAGAGTAGTAGTTGATGAGTAATCTCCACAAAAAATTGTTTTTGTGATCTGAAGCATTTCACATTTGTTCATGAATATCTGTTTGCATATTTTCCTCTAAACTGGTTTGTCTTTATGATAATGTGAAAGTCCTTGAAGTAATGTGCATGGTTTGGATAATTTTTTATGGAGATTTGATCCTTAAGCAATTATATGATGTTTTATCTGTTGATATACAGGTTACAAAGTTGAAGACCTTATCTCCTCACTGGGACTTTGTAGATGCCCCTTGTGAGTATGCATCATACTGTGGAGGTTGTAAAACGCAAAACTTGTCTTATGAGGCCCAACTCAGAGCTAAGGAGCAACAAGTACGTGAATTGGTCATCCATGTTGGAAAGTTTTCGGATAAAACCCCAGATTTTGCACATATTATGAAGCCCATTGTTCCCTGTGATATACTATTTCATTATCGGAATAAGGTTAGTGTGGAATTTAGAGATTAGTTAGGCTCAATTTGATTCTGTGCTAAGACTGGGAATAGTTATATCTCTAGCTACCTACTTAAAAGCATATTGTAAAATAGTTTTTGAGGTCTGAATTTATTGTGAATTTACTCCTTTGCTTCATATGGGGACTTCTGTAACTTGCTATTCTTTTGGAAGTACAATATAGTTTTGGATGTGTGAGCACCCATGCACTTTTTTGATTAATTTGATTTTCCTTAAATTAAATAGTTTTTATGTTTCTGATTGCGTATAGACACAATGTACTTGTTTAATGAATCAGATAGACAATAGTTGGAGCCCTTGCATTATTATTTAATCATAAAGCCGATAAAAGCTCGAAGAAAGAAAAAAATGTCTTGTACCTTGTACGCATAATGTTATACAAGTTTTTGTTGGGATCCATAATTTTGTTCCAGCATCGGTTAAAGGAAAATAGAGATCACTGACATGCATCTGTATAAACCATATAATCACTGCTCATAATGTACATTTTTTTGTTCTTTTGGCCAATTAATTTGTACATGTGATATATTCTAAGCTGCTACTTTGCTTCTTCTGCAGATGGAGTTCTCATTTGGTTCTCAGAAATGGTTACCTAAGGAATTATTACACGAGAAACTAGATGGCAATGACAATTATGCATTAGGACTGCATGCTCCTGGATTTTTTGATAAGATACTCAATGTTGACAAATGTTTATTACAAAGTGAGCCTGCAAACAAGGTGTGCATTCTGTTTCCCTCTTATTACTTAACGCTGTTTATTCTTTAAGGCACATAATGCTTATAAGCTATCTTTATTAGTTTGTTATACAATATACTTGGCACTAGATATGCACTCTTTGTTTTTCCTTGAATTTTTCTTGACAGGTAGATGTTATCATGTAATAGAACTTTGCTATTTTGTTCTGGCTTGACTTCAATTTTAGATGTGTAGATCCTTGCAACTGTCCAAGACAGTTGGAAAGATCCAGAACTAGGTCTTTCTCCATACAATGTTCACTCCCACGCTGGATTTCTTAAACATCTAGTTCTGAGAACTGGAAGGTACTTTTGTTTTATCAGTTAATGCGCTACCGCTTACGATTACATATTTACGAATGACATGTTTCTTGTTTTATGACTGCACATATAAGAAACTAGTATTGTTAAAAAAGTGTTTGATGGCTAATTGAAACTGAAAAGTAAAAGATCAATAGAATCTTGTGAGATGGAAGTTGTGCGATCCTTTTGGGAGTTATATTTTTATTAAATTCCAAATTATATGTTGACCGATAACGTCATCAAACTAGTACATTTCCATTATTAATGCATTAGTTTCAAGAATTTATTAGTTGGCAACTCTGTCTTCTCTTTTGGATAAGAGGTGTGCTCATGTGTGTTTTTAAATTGAGTTCTTCAACATTTTACCTTAAAAGGAAAGATTTGTGAGTTTGTGGACTAAGAAAGGATTTGGTGAGCCTTGGAGCTATCAGTTTTTATATGTTTCTCATATGTCCAAAGTTGGTACGTGGTAGCCAATTTTCGCGTCATTTTTGCTTAGTCATGCAATCATAGTTTTCAAATGGTATAACTTATTATGAGAAAATAATTAATTCTTTCAAGACATGTTTTATCTGATTTCATGGATATTTAATTACCATTTCATGTTCCAAATTTATGATTGTTGTTCTAGGGACATGAGTACTGGTCTACCTGAACTTATGGTCAACTTTGTCACCTCGTCTTACAAGCCAGAGATGCTGAAACCCCTGGTTGAGAAAATTTCAACTATTCCTGAAGTGGTATGTTTTAATTGTGCTAACTCTGTAAATGTCGATCTGCCAAATTTCTGTGGTTTGATTCTTGGGTTGGATGATAATTGAGTGACACCAAATATGATTAAAGTCCACTGGACCAGTTATCCAGTTGAACGATCTTTATATCTTCCCTGCTCCTCTTGTGTGATTCTTAGATTCCAGATTGGCTTGATTTGACAGACTGCAAATCTGAACACAATTTATGTAAAATGAGGCTTCATAAAAACCTTTTTCTTTTGTTTTTTGCTTTTCATGTGCATGAAACAATTAGTCAGAGAATTTTATGATACCAGAACCAGATCTTCTGGGGCACAATTTTTCTCTCCTTTAGTTGCACAAAAAGTCATTGACGGTGATTGAAACACTCAAAGTGTCGATTTTTTTGATGAATGAATGAAATAAAAGGTTTTGATTGGTTTCCATTTTATGTTATGTCCATTTATGGATTAGGTACTTCAATTGAAAGGTTACTGATATATTGACTGCTTAAATGCTAACATTAAGCTTATAGTCCTAATTGTTTTTCTCGTATAATGAGAAATATACAAAACAAGTTAAAATGTTGGCCTCTTGATAGTGCTTGGCTTCTGAGTAAACATGCCATTTTTGTGGTGACTCTTGTACATCTTTAAGCTCCATCTTTCCTATTGACTTTCTTGTTGAAACTCATCTTTAAAGTGGTCATAGTGTACTTTGAAAACAATTCTTCATTAGACAAGTATGATGCTGAGCAAAATCTTGACAAGTTACCGATGAGATAAATTGTGTGGTTTTTGATGCTATTCAGGTTAGTATTATGAATAATGTAACTACTTCTATTGGTAACACATCTGTTGGCGAGGAGGAGTATACATTGTATGGGAAAACTACAATCACAGAAAGTTTGAGAGGTCTAACATTTCAAATTTCAGCAAACTCCTTTTTCCAGACAAATACTCATCAGGTATGTATTTTGGCCGATATTAAATGCATTTGTATGTTCTGCTTCTTTAACGTATTTTTATTACTTGGATGTTCCATTGTTTTTTCTTTCATGACTACTGTTCATGATTAACCTTTTATTGAAATGATTTTACACTGTTAGGCTGAGGTTCTCTATAAACTAATTGAAGATTGTGCTGGCTTGAGAGGAGATGCCTCCGAAATTGTCCTCGACTTGTTTTGTGGGACAGGAACCATTGGTCTAACACTTGCAAAAAAGTACTTCCCTTCTCAGGTTTTTATTAATTGATCTCATATGTATTGAGATGTCATATAAATATTATATTTCAACATTATAATTCTTTTTTTTCAGGGCTAAACATGTTTATGGTTATGAAGTTGTTGCTCAAGCTGTTGCAGATGCTAATAAAAATGCCAAGCTGAATGGAATAAATAATACTACATTCGTTCAAGGAGACCTCAATAAAATTGATGAAAATTTTGGCAAGCATTTTCCAAAGCCGGATATTGTCATTTCAGGTTACCTTCCTAATTCCTATTGGACACCTCGTTTATGTAGTTTTAATCACCGTTTTAAATAATATTTGAAGTATTATGAGTGTAAATGTGATGCCTGATAGCTTTGCAAGGTGAGTGAAAGAACATCTGCAAAATTGTGCACTTTGTTTTGATGTACAAAGATCTTGCTTTATGAGCCTCTGAAGCTGAAAATTGGATTTTGATTTGGTGAAATTAATGGTCCTATTATTTAGAAACAAGTGATGCAAATTCTTGAACAGAAATTTATCCATCATATTTTAGCATTATATTCAAATATGCTAGAATACTTGGAGAACATTTAATGTGACATGCAATGGAATCATTGTTGCGACTGGTGTCTATTCGACTTTTAATTTTTCACCTTGATTTGCAGATCCAAATAGACCCGGTATGCACATGAAATTAATCAAGTTTCTGCTGAAGCTTAAGGCTCCGAAAATTGTTTATGTATCATGCAATCCCGCGACTTGTGCTCGTGACATCGATTATCTTTGCCATGGTGCGGTAAGTATATGGTATATCCGACATCTGCATTGTTGAAAACCTTATGATCTATCATACGAACCATTTCAAAAACCTTAATTTCATGCAGGTGGAGCAAAAAATCAAAGGATGTTACAAGTTAAGAAGCATACAACCAGTAGATATGTTCCCTCACACTCCTCATATTGAATGTGTTTGCCTATTGGAGCTTTGTTGAATACTAGCATTCACCTATTGGATACCTGTAATTCTCTATTTTATTTTATGATGATAATTCTGATCAATTACATCACTTCAATTGATTCAATTTTGTCTCACATTTCCTTTTGGTCCTTAGTTTTTGTGGCTTGCTTTTATACTTTGGATAGCCAATCACAATAGGGCTGGGTAGATATCTGTTCCTACGGTTAAGAAATTGGCCTTTGGTTGAGCTAATAATCACTGGTCATCTCTCAGCGGCACACAAAGGCAAAACTAGTTGTCCGTATGACACCAACTTGAAGTCCAAGTAAGCTTATATGCACATGCATATTTGTTATTTTGCAACTTATGAACTATGGTTCGTTTGAATGACATACAAAAAACCAAAAAATCCAGCCTGAGATATGTCCACTTTCTCAACAGGTTGTCTAAATTTAGCATGTACTTCCAAACCACAAAGCTTCCACTTCATCCATTCAAAAGCCACCTTTTTTCTCACCTCTACAACAAATGGATGAAGTATTTAACAATTTATAAAAAGCTCATATCATCATTATCATATTGTTGTACCTCCCCCAGATCTCATCTCGATTATCATTCCTTCATCTATTGAAGTTTTTGTAGGAACTCTTTTGCTGATTAAACTCTCTAAAGTTTCATATCCTCTGATCAATCACAATATCTTTACATGATTAGTTGGACGGTTCAAATAAATAAGTCATTATACATGGCTGTAGGGAGGTCAAACCTTTCTCTCTCTCTCTCTCTCTCTCTCTCTCTCTCTCTTTATATGGTATATCATCTTCTCAACTTACTTGAATTATCATTTACAATTCTTTATTTAAACTAAAAAGAATGAATCACCTTAACCATTCCATCACTATTTTCCCATCAACGATCATCATAATGGATACATTATTAGTTGGACGGTTCTGGGGATTATATTAAGTATAAAACAGAACTAGGAGTTAAATAACCATATATATTACAAATAGACCTGCCAAAAAAGAAGCATAAACATGTGCTAAGCAATTAGATTCCGGGGTGGTTTTCAAGAGCACGCTGTGTTGAATCAAGGAGACCTGACCACTGGCTGCGGACAGATTTTTAGAGAATGTTTTTTTGTTTTGCTTTGATTAGCTAAACAAAGTACACATCAAAGGAAAACCAACATAAAATAATCTCCAAGCAAAAGAAAATGCTTTTTATGCATTAAACAAGTTATATTAAAAAGATAGAAAAGTGATGATCAGAATCACTTTTCTGGCCCTTGATCTTAATCATAAGTGCTATAATTGCTAAGCCTTTTTCATCTGATAAAAGGTTGTCAAGAACTAAGCCCCTTTCTGCTCTTTGGTGATGGATACAAGGATGATGATGATAATCAGAAAATCTATCATTACAAAGATATTTTTGATAATACGTAATGAGGAAAATGATGATAACCAAGGGATTTTGATTAGTTAGTTCATTACAGTAGTACTTGTTATGAGACATGTTAATCATTAATGGATGATCATCAAATGATGATCTCTGTGGATGGTGGATAGGATTAGGGTTTTTGGAGTGGAAAGTTATGTGTTTGGACTGGGAGAGAAAGGTTGAATGGAAAAGGAGAGAAAGCTATGTTTGAAGGAGAACATTGCATTGGTTGAAGCTTGTTGCCTAAGTTTTCTAGTGCCTTGACTTGGGACCTAAGGAACTTTAGATAATTTGCAGCCTCATCAAGCATTGATGCAGTATCCATCTTGCTCCCACAAGGAACCAGCTTCTGCAAAACCCTAATTCTCTCACTTATCCTCTCCCTCCTTTCCCTTGCCGCGACGGTTTGTGGATCGGTCGATATCCTAACATTCTTCCTTTTAGGTTTCTCCACCACGTCCAAGCCTAAGTTCACCGGTCTGAACACCGCGGATCGATAAATCATCTCTTTCATTTGTGCAATAGCCTCTGGATCAGGTTCTTCAATGGATGAAGATAGTGATGAACTTGCAGGCTGTTGAAAGTTGATATTCGATGACCTCGGATGCTTCTCCGATCTGACTCTCTTTGCTTTCGGTGGGTTCTCGGGGATGACCCTAGAACCACCTTCTGTTGCAGAAGATTCAGTATGAAGAAGATTGAAGTAACCAAAATTTAGTCCAAAATTTAACTCATTCTGGTCATTTTTTCTCTTTGAAGTAACCACTATTTCATCGAGCCCGTTTACCGGACAGTTAAAATCTTTGCTTCCGGTATTCGAGCCATTGTTCTCAGACTCTCCTGACGGAACTGCACTGCTAGAAGTGAAACTCCATAGGTTTTTACAACCAGAGAAAATCATGGAAAGCCCATCATATTCAACCGATGTATCAGTGTTGCTATTAGTAGGAGAGATCAAACACTCAAGTGACTCAATAGAGCCTGATGTTCTACCAATATCAGATACTGAACCAGTTAACGTGCTAAAATTACCATAAGCTTTATTCAACATAGGAGAAGAGAAAAGCCCTTGTGTTGAAGCATCTTCCCAGTTGACAGATTTTTCAAGCTCTTGAATTGGATAAAAGATATCTTCTGGCAGATCTTCCATCTTCCCACCGTAAATGGAAGACTTGGAAATCAAGAAACAATCATCTCCGATTTCTGAGGCGTCCCATTCCAAGGCATCCATTGAAGAAACTTTCCAAGCCAAAGGGAAAAAAATTACAACAAAAATTCAAATCAATCGCCTTAAGAAATCATCCAACAAAAGATAAACACGAAAGCATTACCAAAAAACAATTTGAAAAAGGAAGATATTTCATATACCTTGAGCTGTTGCAGAGAAAGCAGTCACAAAGTATGTATGTTGAACGCATGCATGCCTATATAGATAGGACTTGAAAAAAAAAGGTGGCTAAATAAAATATAATTTAATGTTTGAAAAAACGAGACTTTTTGGTCGGTTTTAGTGGGGGGGTGTAAGAGCATATTTCTGCAGATGAGTGCATCAGATGGCTTAGGTCTGTATTAAATTACTAATTAAGTTCAAACAGTTTCTCATTTGTATTTTGCGAGTGAAGGAATCAATGGTGAAATTAGCAGAATATTTAACTCAAATTTCTACGCTAAATAAGTTCCTTCCCGATACAAGGCTTGATTAATTAAGACCCGAAATACAAAGGCTATCCTGGAAGGGAACGAGAGCTAGGCATGGTCGTGGCTTAGACAAGTGTTTTATTAATTAGTAATTTTTTAAATAATTTAATAATAAAATTGCATGAAAATAAAATGATTATTTTATTTTATTCTTTTGATAAGAATTCGGGTTGGTGAATCGATCCGTGCTGAGTTTAGATAAAAGTTCATAGAATAAAGAGAAGTAAAACCTAAAAGCAAAAGTAGAAAGCTAGTGTAAAAGCCATTCAAAAGTTCCTGTTTTTCACGGTAAAAAATTAGGTGAAGGCAGAGAGCACAATGTCATGTAATAGAATTATAGAGGGTAAATTATAGAAATGATAATTGAAGTATGAATAAGTTTATTTTTTTTTCACTACTAAAGTCGCAACTCATAATTAAAAAACACGAAAATCACTACCTAGCGATGGGAGTACTCAATTCAGAATCCAGATTAACACTAATCATCTCATTCTCCACAGCTAAATTCTCATTGTCTTTTGCCTTTCGAGCTACCCCAGTCGCTAAACAATCTTCCAGTTCCATTACCACATGATTCATGGGTGGCCTTCGAGAGGGAGTTGGATACAGGCAAGACATTAATTGCTATTTCCAGAGCTTTCCAAGCAGAATTCACATCAAAATTTCCCTGCAATCTCTTGTCAACAATGGTTTGAATGTCCCCATTGACTTATGTGTTAAACCTTTTCATCTTCAGCTCTTATAATTGGAGGTTGGCCTGTGATTATCTCCAACAGAACAACAACCCCAAAGCTACATACATCACCTTTCTCTGTTAACCTCTTTGTGTTAGGAAATAAACCGAGTACAAATAATTTCCCCATAATCAGATTAGTGAGAATACGAAATAAAAGCGGAAAAATAATACCCGAAAATTGATAACGGAGTTCAGCCAATTGTGCTTACGTCTCCGGCTGCTGCAAATCTTTTACTAAGAGAGAAAATTTACAGGTGTTTACAAAACACTCACTACTCACAAGAAAACTCTCTAGTATAGGAAGAAAGAAATGTTTTTGGATGATTTTGAAGCTAAATGAGCTAGGGTATTTATAGTTGAAACTTAGGACTAAACTTGTAATTAACCCTAAAGTGCAAAGGGACTAAAAACCACATTCCCCATTTTGTTTTAGCAGCCGGCTGCTACTTAGCAGCCTAACTTGTTCTTTTTTTTAATTTTCAACAATCTCCCACTTGAAGACTGATTTTAATCCGTCTTCATACCTCGATCGATGCAACATCATTTCTGGTATTGTTATTCTAGCATGCCAACTGAAGCTGAACACAACTTCAGTTTGTCCGTGGTCACCGTCTTTGTCAACATATCTACCGGATTTTGAGCTCCACTGATCTTTTCAGGTTTCAAAATCCCATCTTCCAGAAGAGACCGGATAAAATGATATCTCAATTGTATATGCTTCGTCCTGGAATGAAAAGACGGATTCTTTGCTAGATGGATAGCACTTTGACTGTCGCAATACAAGACATTGTTTTCTTGTTTCTTGCCTAACTCTTCCAAGAAACTTTGGAGCCAGACAATCTCCTTGCTGGCTTCCGTAACAGCGACATATTCTGCTTCGGTTGTGGAGAGAGCAACTATCTTCTGTAGTTGAGAAACCCGACTCACTGCAGTTCCTCCTAGAGTATAGACATATCCTGTAGTGCTCCTTCTGATGTCAACATTTCCGGCTAAGTCAGCATCTACATAGCCTGTCAGTATCGTATCTCCACCTTTGAAACAAAGTGCTTTGTTTGTGGTACCTCGCAGATATCTGAGGATCCATTTGACTGCTTCCCAGTGTACTTTGCCTGGATTATTCATGTACCTGCTAACATCTCCCACTGCTTGAGCAATATCTGGTCTGGTACAAACCATGGCATACATCAGACTTCTAATTGCTGAGGCATACGACACCTTCACCATGTGTGCACGTTTTTCCTCCGTCTTTGGTGACTGTTCTTTGGAGAGTCTGAAAT